AGAGCAGGTGGGCCAGGGGTAAAAAGACCGAACTGAGGTGGTATTGCTGAAGCACCCGAAGTTAGTTATCGCCATCTTGAGTGTAAATTGCGACGGTGTCAGAAGCTTTCTCGATACAATCATGCCCTGAAATCACCAGAACGAAAAAGAAAAAAGAAAAAAGAAAAAAAAAGCAGAAAAAGGCCCGGAGGAGTACTTACATAAGACATCGGTTTGCAGGTGAAGGCCATATTGGTGCATGGGCATGAATAAGGCATTGGGTCGGCTAACTTGATCGTCAATGGGCCTGATGAGTCGCTGGAGGATCCAGTTGAAGATTATCACAAGGACGAGGGCCGCTACCAAGCACGAGACAGCAAAAATGAGCTCTTGCTCCATCTTTGGTGCTATGAGGTCTGGACTACGGAGCGGATAGATACCAGAGAGGATAAGTTCGAGTCCTATTAGCGCTATCCTCGTCTGTGGTGAGCCCTTTTTATCTCTAAGCGGTAATCCGAGAACGGTTTATCAAGCGATTGTTGCTTCAAATATGAGGGGAAATAGGCATGGGTCTATTCGCTTCGATTGAATATGTGATGGCGTCGGAAAAACCGTATAGCAGATAAAGGCTCTTGGTATAGTTGAGCATGGAATGGAAGTAACTTCTGCTGAGTATTTCTGTCTAGCTCTGGAAATGACAAGTGAGCTAAAAGGCGTAAGAAAAAGACTTGGGATTGAGTGTGAAGAGAAATGGTGTTTAGGTATATATGCAGATTGAAACCTAGTTTACTATCCGAGTTCGGCCGGCGGCGTCCTTCTAGGGAGGTGTCGGATGGAAAGCTAAAAGACTACATAAGTAGGTAGTTATACCCCACGACATATACTGAAACTTGATGGTAACAAGGAGCGGGCTCATGATGTTACGCAGAAGGTTGCTACGACTTAAAAGTGCGGGATCAACCAAAGAAATAGGTGCACACGGAACAGTTGAAGATGCTGACGAAGATTGAGAAAAGTAAATACGCCTGGAAGAAGATGAGGACAAAAGCCTATTCTTCGCAGAGTGAATATTGAGACAACATATAAGAGTATAATACGCTACACAGATGTTTTACATCGGTGTCTAAAAATTATATTGATGTTGGCATGTTTATAAACAAGGGGAGCAAATCGGCCATATTGAGTTTAAATTAGTCGTTCGGCGTACCTTTTAATTCCCACATTCTATAGAGCATATATGCTTCATTCTTATAGAACTTCAGGTATTTAGTAATATAAAGCCATCTGCTAACTTATTGTATAACACAGATACGTTATTACACTAGCCTTGTCAGTAACTGGATACCGACAGGTTTCCGGCTACCAGTAACGTGGAATCCGACTTCGACGACTAGAAGAAATAACCACCCTCCCCCCCATTAGACCATTACCTCAGCGCCGAGCTCAGGAACGCGAGGATGTCATGCCGCTAGTCAGGTGACATGCGACCCTTCTTAAGCATTAGGACAAAGAATGTCCCGGCGCAAGTAAAATCTACCGGGTTAAGAACCGTTTCCCTGTCCACGGTGTACACGTATAGGTATAATCCGTTAAGCTAAAATTAAGCAAAAGTGGCGAATGCGCTAAGCCTAATCTATCGCGCGCATCAAAAGTGGTAAAGCCTAGAACGATGTAAACGCGCGTCGGCTGTTTCACGCAAGTATCATCCCATTACCCGCCAAGAAACCTACTTATACTTACTCCTAGCATTCGTTTCTCGAAGAGGAGGGGATTGACCAGTATAAAAAGGTCTGATACCTACTACAAGTACGGACGGGACTGACTGTCGCGGACCCTCCACACCTGCGTGTTTCGCAACAGTCTACGTATGATAAAGGAAAACTCCATGCCCTTATTAAGTGTACAGTAGGCTAGGCTACGTGTTGACGGAAATACGAGAGAGCTCCACCAAAGACATCAAGGACCCTTTGTAAAAGGGACGCAGCCACACACAGCCCCTTAACTGAATGCTACGACGACAATCGATTGGCCTATGAAAGACACTCCTATTTTTGGCGATAGAATGACCAAACAGTAGCACCGTTGTCTTCACGTGAGCTGAGTTACTCGGAATAAAATGCTAGGCAACGCCCGACACTTGTCTGAATGTATTTACAAGACATAAAAAAATGTCCGGTAGCGCCAAACAAGTTTGTCACTAAAATAGAAAGCTTTGCCGGCGAAGCTCTCTATTTTAATACGTTATAAATCAAAGTGCTGACGCACTTTTATTTAAAAATCAGTAAACTAACCAATAGATAGGCTGCAGACACTGAACTAACCAATCAGAGGGCTGCAAACACTTTTAGAGTTCGAGGGGGGTCCGGATATGAACTTCTCAAGCTACGCTTTCCCAAAATTCCATTTACACAGAATTTTGGGAAAGCAAAGCTTTCCAATGATAAGACGTGAGTAAAAAAAAATATTTCGTGGCACGAACGAGCAACCAAGCCGACAAGCTGTCCTGAGAACACTTGCGCCTCAGTATAATGATCGTATCACTCAGTCAAATTAAAGCTGAAGTCATATTTAGGGGTATTCATTACTGCAATGGTGTATCCTCCATCAGCCTTGCCATGACCAAATAATTAGTACAAGGACGAATCTCTCAACACTTTTTGATAGTTGTTTTTACTCAGGGTCCCCTATAGACTCCTCCTCCATCGCAGCCTGTTCCTCCATCTCCCTGATCTTTTGTTTGCCTTCTTCAGTTGTACCGTCTATTATTTGCTCCTCCAAGCTAAGTATACCAGCCTGCGGTATAGTCAGCAAATAAGCACACAGATTGATGATGTCATAGTATACGCCATGTCTTCTTACCTCGCTCAACAGACCAACTATCTCCTCGGCCTCGGGAACCTTCATCTTACCGAGAACCTCGTTGACCTTGTCCAGGCTACCAGATTCTAGCGCCGTTCGCATGTCTGGCGTAAAGCCCTCGAAGATTGCACGTCCGTGCTTCTCGGCTTCCTCTTCACTATTTTCGGGAGGGATCTGGATCTTGATCTCTGTGCCTGGTTCAACGGCGTGCAGTTGGATCTGCTCTACGTCGCCACCTTCCGCGGCCCGTTGCGCGTTGATCTCCGTCGTCCGGTTTTTGATGCGGAAGTACGTATCTTGGACGTCTTTATAGAACACCTCTTGGGCTTGGTGGCCCTTTGTAGTAATGCGCTTGAAAAAGAGCGCAACCCCGTCCTTACCTAAATTACGGCAGTACTGAAGTAGCAATGCTTGATGTATGTAGTTTCGTGCGACATCGTCCTGGTTCTGTAGTTGTGCGTCGAAGGCCATGACGAGGATACCGTCGGTCTCCTTTTCGGACAAAATATTAGGATGTGAGGTAATGAACGCATGGCTTTCTCGATATTCGGCGGCTTTGATATTTGCGAACTTGCGACCATCGGCAGAAGCCTCGATCTCGGCGTCATCATCGTCGTCGGCCGTCGACGTCGCCTTCGATTCCTCAGACTTGCTTGCGGAGAAGTTGGGGTTCAGAAGTTCGAGTTTGCCGTCGTCTTTCTTCTCCCCTGATGTGGACGGCGTAGACTTCGCAACGTAAGAGCTGTCGAACCCTGTATGGATGCTCTCACTTGTGATTTTACGGCTCTCCTCCTTCTCCAGCTCTGCTAGCTTCGCCAAGAGCTGCTTCTGTAAATCTTGCACGTTCTTCAAGTGATTCCCTATCTCCTCGACCATGGCGGTGTAGCGGTTCTCGGGGTTATTTTTATTCAGCGTCTCATTTACCTGGTCTAGCAGCGCCGCCATCATCTTCGTATACGTGGGTGGCTGCTCGACCTGAGCCTGGACACCCTCGGGTCGCGCAGGTGGCTTGTCCTCCTCGGGGCTACCGGCAGACTCGAAGACGGCTCGGAAAGCCATCTCGGCGAGGTTGGACTCAGCCTCGGCGGCATTGGCTTCGAGAGCAGCCAGAAGCCCAGATATGCGCTTCATCAACCCATCGTTGATCTGGCGCTCGTACTTGAGGGTCTCGATCTGGAGTCGGCGCTGTTGGCGCTCGGCGTGGATCTGGTTCTGCTTGGCGCGGATGAAGGACCGCTTATCGACGTTCGGGTGGACCTCGATGTCCGAGTCATCGCTGAGCTCCAGGTTGTCCTGATCCGAGAGACACCATGTAAGCACTTTGCCATAGCTCTCCTCAGTACTGGCGGATAGGCGCATGAAGCACTCACCCACTTGCTGTAGTCTACGGGCATTTTGGCTTATACCGGGCAGTCCTGATGAAGGTATTGACCAGGAAGCAGCACTAGTTTCTAGGCAGGTTTCGCAAGCTGGGGGTCCCTTAAGTTGTACCCTAGAAAGAGATGTAGAGAAATTGGTTGGATTCTGGCAGATTCTACATCAGACGAATAGATCAGACGAACAAAGGCTGCGGGGTGAGAGCAAGTACCGTACCTGCCTGCGCTGCCCCTTGGCCGACCCCCACTGTGACCCCTCGTTTGCGGACCGCATCGGTTATCGATACCTACCTACCTACCTACTTGATGCGCATACTGACAGAGCATGTGAGAGTGAAGAATACCTACACCGCAGTTGATGTTAGGCACCGCTTTATCTAATTGATTTCTCATTATATATTTACTTCAGCTGCTTTATTTCAGCTGCAGTAAGAATTGTGTGCTTTCTGTTAGCCTTGTGGCATTATAAGGCTTATCTCTTAAGTTGGAGTAAGTAGACGGGACTACTACCAATACACTGCATCGAGTAAAGACAAGATTGAATTTCGCATGTCAATTCGCCCAGCTGGCTCAATCAGCAGATCTTGATGCTGTAGAACTTGAAAAAGAGAGTAATTGATAGGTACCTATAGTATTTAGTCAGGTAAGAGGTTGCTGCCTATTGTGCCTTACTCCTAAACAAGCCGTTGTATCTGCCTCACACGAGCAGCTATAAGTCGCAGTCCAGGTAGCGCAATCCAACAGGGAACAACAGCAGGGCATAGCCGCCTGGCTAGCTTACTCCGTGCCCGGTTAGCTCAATCGGTAGAGCGTGAGACTCTTAATCTCAAGGTTGCGGGTGAGTAATTGAAAGCAAACCACAATTGAGGATGAATAAATGTACTAATCCTAGCAGGTTCGACCCCCGCATCGGGCTCAATTCCTGATGCCTCCCAGATTCACTACGAGTAGCAACCCGTCTTTTTTTTCTGCATACCTCTTTATTATTATTATTTTCTTTTTTCTTGTTTCTCTCTCTTTATTTTCTTTTTCCTTTTTTGTCCTTTCACTTCTCCCCCCCCCTCCTTTTTCTTCTAATCCTGTTACTATTTTCTTTGGTTTTCGCTGACCGAGCTTTTAAGTGATGCATTAAAGGATTGGACTGCGGAGTGCTGAAAGTCCCGGTTCTCGGGTAATTGCTAAAAATATTAATACCCTAATGCGAACAGTAATGGCGGCACATTGCCTCGCATCCGTTTAGCTCTCATTCGTACCTTGGTAATCTTGTCGGCAAGAATCACAGCCGGTAGCTCCATATTAAAGTCCGAGGGGCATAGGCTTTTAAAGACAGCGGGATATGTGTTGCAGCATTGGTCCGAGACAAACCATGTCTATGATTCTCTATCATTAGTTCGTACTGGACAGCCGGTCATGAGTCGTTCTAGATTGTGCCATCCCAACCTACCTACTGGGTCCAGCTCACCTAGAAGGATAGCCCTGTTAGCTTCAGCATACTGTTGGATCATGAAAATAAGTTCATTATAGCACCGTGATGGTCTGCAAAGACGCTTGTTTATAACTCTATTGATCTACTTCTATACTTGCGCGGCCCTACGGTATACGCTCTGCCGTAATTGTTGACTCTAGGCATCTAAAGTAAGAGATGTTATCATCCTGTACAATTAAATGCGGCTGGAGTGCCTCTCACGTGGCATGCCAATGATGACTAAGTCTAAGCACAATACTACCTAGTACAGCACATGGCTGTATCTAAATGATATATCTAAGTATATGAGTGGAGCAGTAAGGTCTCACTAAAAAAATCAATGATTCACAGTTTATCATAATCATTCATTGCTATATGCCGGCCCTACAAACACTTTCCCTCTGCGTGTGCTGGTTAGCCCGTAGGAATAGTCTCCTGTATACAATTTTGCGAAGTCATGAGAAGGATAACTTTTTAAACATATACTATGATACCCAATGTACTTAGTTAGGGATGAGTTAGAATCACAGCTCGACATCTATGACAACCCATCACCGGCGTCTTCGGGATTACCCGTCATTCTTTGTAGACTTACACCTTTCACGTGCAAGTCAGCCGCCTCAATCAGCAATATTATCCGTCCTTCATGGTTGCAGCCCGATTTCATGACTCATCATTTGACCCGTCAGTGCTACGAACAATTATAGAAGATGGGATGGTATCGACAAAATACGCAGGATGGACAAATGCTACCTTCTATATGGTGAAACCGCAGTATTGAATCTGCGCCGCTGAGGAAGACATACCGCGTATTTGGAAGTTGGATATCAAGCACTGCCTAGTTCTGGTCGTTGGGATAAAGTTTCCCTGTTACCACGTTCGCAACCAATCATCCAATAAGATCGGACGAGATGCACGCTTGCGGCGTGCCGGACCGGAAGAATGCAGCAATACAGCCCCAAAGTAAGGTGATAGCATATTGGTATAGAGGTATGGAAAGAAGCGTAAATACGCCGTATCAAAGTGCTTCTCCTCCAGAAGTCCGAGTCTGGTCCGGTTCCATATAGTTATATATAATCAAGGTGCGGGTGGAATAAACATGCTGGTGGTCTCCGCAATCCAGTGAGGCGTTTCGGACAAGCTGAAAAAGAATTAAGCGATACAATACAATGGTACATTGATTCGCTTAAATAGGAAAAAGTCTTAGAAAGGAAGCGTGAATCTAGAGGTGTACCTATGTAAGGGCTTTACTTGGCATTGCCTAACTTAGCTTAGTACCATCGTGCTCAGCCATCGGCTCAACGCCCGGATCGCCAGGATCGCCAGATTCAGCCTTGAGAGTCGACGTTGAAAAAACGTGCCTGATCGGTCCGTCCCCGTACGGAGGATCGGAAACATGTTTGATTCGCCAGAACTTCAGCGCACCAGCTGTGAATGTATGGGTAGGAGGGACTGCGCCGTAGTAAGAGTTCCCCCGCCTCCATAATCGAGTCACTTGAATGACACTTACCTTAGCACAGGATTGATAGGAATGATGGTAAATTACATCATCGGATTCTCTTATCGAGAGTGGGTTGTGATGTTAGTGTAAATCTATACGTGAGGACATCATAGTACCGCTTAAGGTACCAGTATGACCAAGCAGGGCTATCGGCCTTCGGACTCGTTACCATCAACCTGGCCACAGGACCATCGAAGCCCAATTTTTTGTCATTATAATTTACATGGTCATAGACTCATCATAGCCCGAATTTGGTTCACCAGTGTTTATATAAAGGATATGGCGAGCCCAAAAACTTCATGGTGTATCATAGAAACCATCATCGATCGCGTCTAACTCACAACGATTCAAGTTCTTTAATGCTCTTGTCTCCTTTCCAGCTTCAGTAAAACCCACTCAGAAACCATACATATTTCTACATAATGGTTGTGATTCTAGCAGCAGTTTCAGTCGCTCTTGATGGCAGCGGCACTACCCAGGGCCAAGGCAGCTCAGCGTCTGGGCCGACTGTCAAGAGCGAATCTTCCCCAGCTCCGGGACCGTCACCACCGCCGCCGACAACAAGCTCGTCGTGAGTTACCCCCTTTTTGTTATCGAATCTCACCACAATTCTAATGATGCTACATTAGTTGACATTGCCGTTGTCCCTGATATATCAGATTTGGCGACAGCCAAAATTTTCGTCCTCGTAAGTTTAGCAAACCATACGAATCCCCCCTTAGGCTTCTACGGTTGCTAATACTTTATTTATAGGGGGCTGGAAATCTGGCGAACAGCCATGTACAACAAGCCTAAATGTGTCGATGAGCCCAGACATACAAGAAAAGGAGGAAACCAAGCCGGCAGATTTATATAGGAATATGACTGAAAGGGGCCGGAGGGGCATGGATAGGGGGGACGCCTTGTTAGAACTTGTACAACAATAGACTTAGAAGAGGCCACTATACTGGTGAAACTGGATAAGAAGGAGTTACCGGGTTTACATTCTTTTCTTGTTTTCTTACCTTTTGGACAACATTAGATTATAGACACTTTCGTTAAACAAATTTAGCTCAAATATTTCACACCCAAGCGTTTCACCGGAACGAGAATGACACAAGTCCTTTGAGCAGGAGAAGTAGAAGTGGTATGGGATAGGAAACATAATCTATTGCTTTAGCTGCCTCGAGTCAGAACTTCTTGACTAACTGGCTCAACCTGCGGCTTTACTTAGTTTAAGGCGCGGCAACCTATGAACTGCAAGATCTAAGCAGAACACCCTAGTAGAAGGCTGCCCCCCTAAGCGAATCCCAACATCTCCTGATAATATCGTGCGGTGTCAAAAGAACCATCCGCCAGTTCATCAGGGTTTTGATTGAACACGAACGTGCGTGCATTCTTGATGACCTCCGCACTTGTACCGTCGGCGTTGGTGGTCGACACGTCGCAGTAAGCCATGCGGTACGCGTTCGACTCGTAGGTGCAGAGTCTCATGACGTGTTTGAGCTCTTCACATAGCCATACCATTCCCTTGACCGTGCCTTCATCGTCCGTGGTCGCGGGCACCAGAGCCGGGTATGGTCCCCACATCTTAATTTTCCAACCCTCGATGCTTGCGTTCTTGCGGAGAGTAAGGCTGTCCTTATCCTCGATCTCGCACACGCTCTGTAGTACGTCGGGAATCTGGAGCGAGCCGTAGAAGAAGAAGTAGAAGGGCTCGAAGGTGGTTACTATGGATAGAGTCTCGCCGGAAGCGGTGGTAGAACCGTCCACTGCACCTGTATCTTGGGTTGCGATTAAATTCGTATCATTACCGGAAATTTGCTTAGGCGTGGCGGGGATCTCGAAGTTCTGGAGCGCCAAATCGGCAAGGTCGAAGAGCTCGTTGCCTGTGGCTGTTGTGCGAAGGCCTCGAACGGTGAGGATAGACACATTGTGAGTATCTGCATTGTCGTGTGTTGGGTACTGGGCCTTCGTTGGGGGCAGAGAAGCCATTATGCCCTTGATTCGCTCGTGCTCTGTGGCGAGAGGTGAGCTAACTGCGGTGGTATTATCGTTGCAAGGCATCATCACTGTATAAGTAAGAACCTTTTTCACCCACAAGTATAGGATAATCTTTGCTTAAATGATGGTTCAGAGAACTGATATCTCGTGACGATTAATGGGGCTGACGAGGCTTGCTGGTGGAATGGAGGTATGTATCTGTGGATATGGATGTGAGAATCTTAGAAAAGAACAGAAAATGGGACAACTTGGGCTTATAACGGTACCTGAAATGTGTTTAGGTGATTACTGGGTGATGAAACCTTGCGTCACCTGGGTAATTTAAATCGTTGTACTGGTCTTGAAAACTTGAGACTGAGATACCTGGGTGACAAGAATGCTTTGGAAATCGGTAGATGGGTTATGAACTTATAGAATTATAGTTTTGAATCGGTAGCTAGGTTGCTGGGATACTGACGAGACACTGGCTCCTCGTTTCTAGGACAATCTATGAAAGACTTTCCCAAATCCCTTAGTTCTCAGATTGCTATCTTTGTGGATTATAGCTATTTGTTACAGAGTGAACAGCAACGGGATATCAAAGGAAAACAATAAAGCCTTGTGTTGTAACTTGGGCCTCAACGAGCCATCAAAGGAAAGCTATGTAGGTATGTAGTTGGTGACACGGTCTCATAAACGTCAATAACGACATAAGCTATGTGCAGTCATGAAGCGACGAGACTTGCCTGCCTCCATCATGCATCCACGCCTTTATAAAATAATACAACAAAGGGTAACACCGCAATCGCAACTCCGTCGCCCTAAACAAATATGCTCGACACATACGGACATCATCTGTCATCTCTATTTTGGTGCCTGGCCTTCGACAAAGTCCAGGGCTTGCTCTGTACTGACGCAGTTGATAGTGCTGTTCTTGTTCCTAAACAAGACACCGTAGCACTTATCAGCGACATGGACGATTTCAGGT